CACCTGGGCCCCCCCATCAACCGCCTGAGCCCCCATCACCTGCTTGGGTCCCGTCACCCACCTGCCTCCCCCACCCCGTCACCTGACTGCTCAGGGCCCTGCACTGCCTTGTTGTGGGCTGGGTTCGAGGCAGGAGGCAGGCAGGGAGACCCCACTGGTGCTGGTGAATTCTTTGTGGTGGGAGAAGTTACTATCTTGGCATTTTAACTGAAATCTTACCTGTTCCTTTTGGTGCTTTTCTTAGTACTGCGAAGAAGGAAGATATAAAGCTGAGCATTAAAAAGCTGCTGAACAGACACAACATCGTGTTTGGTGATTACTCGTGGACCGAGTTTGACGACCCTTTTCTGACCAGGAATGTGCAGTCTGTGTCCATTGTTGACACAGAGCTGAAAGCTAAAGGCCCACAGGTAACGTCCACCCTGTCCAGAACGGCTCGGCCCAGGCTGTCACACAGCAGGTGCTGCTGAGTGTCGTCAGAGGCTGGCTGGCCTCTGCTGGGGGAGTTGCTGCTTGGCTGCTTTGCTACTGTGTTGTCAGAAACTGGTCAGTCCGTTCTTCTGGACTAGCTGGCAGGTATTGGCCATCTCCTGTGTGCTCCAGACCAAGTGCTGGGAATAAGACGTGGACCCCACTGTCAGAGCGCTGCCTGGCAGTAGGGAGAGAGGTTAGGAGACAGCTTGAGGACACTTTGCTGTGCTCAGGAGTCTGGCCTTCTGCAAACACAGAATGCACATGTGCTCTGGGACCATAGCAGGTGGTGGGGCTGCAGAGGAAAGCTGGGTGTCCTGCCAGCAGACACACTGCCTCCCCCACTGACTTAGAGCGTTCTTGAAGGGGGCAGCGAACGTGGGGTAGGTATGTGGAAGAGGAGACTCCCGTAGCTCTATGGTACACATCTTACAAAGACTCCGTGCTGTGTGAACTACATTTTTCTTTGAACGTGTCCCTCCCCACCTGTGCATTAGGGCTGCTATGTGGTGGTGGTGGTGGTAGTGTGCCGTGGAGTCACTTCCAACTCAGCGAGCCTGCCTGGGGTGTCCGAGGCTGTCAGTCTTTACAGGTACAGAAAGCCTCATCTTTCTCCCATGGAATGAACTGCTGACCTCGAGCTTAGCGGCCCGACTCGTAACCACTACTCTACCAGAGTTACGTGGTTCTGCTGTGGTTTATCCCCATGAGGAGCTAGTGCTGTAAGTCTCCATTCTGGCCAGCATGTGGGGAAGCAAGCACTACCTGGCACTGGTGGACAAAGCAGCCCAGCTTTTGTCTAGGGGTTTTGGACTCAGTTTGTTAAGTCTGTATCTCACTTGGAGTCCTGGTGTACTGTAGGATAAGCATTGGACTGTGACACAAGTCAGCTTGAACTGCAATGCAGGTAGGCTGTTCGAACTCACCTAGCCGGTTCTTGGAAACCCTATGCAGGGTTACCATGAGTTGGAACCGACTCGACAGCATTTTTACAACAGTGCCTGGAAATTTAGCAGCCCTGATAGCAATGTAGAATAAGGGCAGCTAACCACATATTGGCAGTTCAAACCCACCAGCTGTTAAGTGGGAGAAAGATGAGGTTTTCTGCTCCTGTACAGATTTACAGTCTCAGGAACCCTGTACAGGGCTCTGTGAGTTGGAATTGACTTGATGAAATGGGGTGGTAGTTTTGCTTCTGTGAATATGCTGAGTTCTGCCACGTGTAGTTTTATAACCTGCACATATTCCCACTCAACTATAGTTTGTTGTTGTTGTTGTTAAGTGCAGTCAAATCAGTTCAGACTCATAGCAAATCTGTGCAGGGTTTCCGAGGCATCAGATCTTTCAGGAATAGAAAACTCTTTTCCCCCATGGAGCAGCTGGTTGGCTCGAACTGTGGACCTTGTGGTTCGCAGTCTAGTGCTTATCATATGGAACCACCGCCCTTCACCACTATAGCTTGGAGACATTTTATGTCCTAAAAAAAGCCTTAAAAGAAATACTTTTTAAGAAGCTATATTGTGTTTTGTTGTGTGGATGAAGCAAATGTTTTGAGCAATTTGACTCACAGGTAGTTGTTTGTTCTTAATGACGTAGATAAATCAAACCTTTTGGGACTTTCATTTGCTAATGGAGCATGACTCAAACTAAGACTCAACAGCTGCAAACATCCATTAATAATATGGAATGTATGAAGTAGGAATCTAGGAGAAGTGGAATGTAATGGGACTCAAACTATATCCTATTCATGAGTTGAAATAAACTAATACAGGCCATTTTTGAATCAGACAAGTATATGATTTACTATGCCAAGAAGGACAAATTCAAGAGAAATGGGATAGCGTTTTATCATCAAACAGAACATTTCAAGATCTATCTTCAGGTGCACCAAGAGGCAATCATTTAAATAGAACAAGGGGTACTGCATGGTGTAAAATCAGGAAAGGTATGCATCAGGATTTTATCTTTTCACCATACTTAGTCTATATACTGAGCAAATAATCTGAGACGCTAGACTATATGAAGAAAAGCATGGCATCAGGCTTAGAATATGCAGATGACAAGCTTGCTTGCTGAAGGCAAGGAAGACTTGATATGCTTGCGGAAGATAAAAGACTATAGCTGTCACTATAGATTGTACCTCAATATATAGAAAGCAAAAATCCTCACAACTGGATTTATAGACAACTCCATGAAAAACAAAAGATTGAAGTTGTGAAGAATTTGATTTTACATGAATCCACAATCAATGCACATTCAAGTAGCAACGAAGAAATTAAATGACATTGCATTGGCAGATCTGCAAAAGACCTTTGGTTTTAATGAGCAAAGATGTCAGTCTTAAGAACTAAAGCGTACCTGACCCATGCCCTGGTATTTTCACTTGGCCTCATATGCATGTGAAAGCTGGACAATGAATAAATAAGGAAGATCAGAAAATAATTGATGTCTTTGAATCATGATGTTGACAAAGAATGTTGGAATTGCCATGGACTGCCAGAAGAACATACAAATTTACCTTGGAAGACGTATATCCTTAATGGCCCTGAGAAGCAAGGATGGCAAGACTGTCTTACGTACTTTGAACATGTTATCAGGAAGGACCAGTCCCTGGAGAAGAACGTCATGTTTGCGTCATGCATACAATATATGTAGTTGGCTTATTGTTGTTATGTGCCGCGAAGTCGGTTCTGACTCATAGTGACCCTGTCTGTACAGGGTTTATAGGGGACTCATTCTTCCTTCTGTATATGCATGTTTCCCACAAGCAGTTAGTACTTTTGTAATTACAGGAAGCAAGACTAAAGAATTATGGTGTTACTTAGTACTGGTGTTGGTTTCTTTGTGCACCTCGGCATCTGCTTGTCGCTCTTACGTGCAGGGAATGTGTCTCAGTGTTGGGTCTGGCTGACATTCTTCTCTGTCCTCAGCCCATTGATCTGACTGCGTGCACAGTTGCTTTGCACATCTTCCAGCTGAATGAGGACGGGCCCAGCAGTGAGAACCTGGAGGAAGAGACCGAAAACATCATTGCCGCAAACCACTGGATTCTGCCTGCTTGTAAGGGGTGGGCTGCACATGCTTTGGCGGGCCAGCTCTGTAGGTTGCTTGCTGACTTGTTCCTGCTTCAGAGTCTGCCCCTCTGCCGGCAGAGGTTCCAGGGTTCACTGGTCATGGGGGTTGTGCCCCCAACTCGGCACTGTCTGCACTCTGCTATGGAGGCGGCAGGGGTGCTTGTATATAGTCCGCGTCCCTCCAAGACGTCTGTACATGTGGGCAGAGCAGGAGTCATACCTGGCTCAGTTGTCTGTCTTCAGTCACACATGGCTGGCATTGGTTTTCTGCCTTTAATTTTAAGGAAATTAAACTTGATGTGATCAGATATTGCCCTGACATGTTTGGGCTGCTGGGAGCCCAGGTGCTATGCAGCACGTGGCTGTAACGCTCACGCCACCACACTCAGGCCCTTGTTTTGTTGTCTGGCAGTGGAATTCCATGGTCTGTGGGACAGCCTGGTGTACGACGTGGAAGTCAAGTCACATGTAAGTTGTCACGTTTTTCTCAGAAACACCCTCCTAGCTGAGGAGCCTCTGATCTGCGCTGTTTACCGCCGTAGGGACTCAGGCTGGGGTGCCTCTCCACCAATGGTCTGTGGCCCGGATGGCGCCCCCAATGGCAGCCTGAGTCCACTGGGTGCTCCAGAGCGGGCCAGTCTCGGGGGTCCCCTGATGGAGGTGTGTGGGAGTGGAATGGGAACACAGCCCATCTGAATGACAACCTCAGACCACTGGGGTGTGGGAGGCAGTGCCAGAGTCGGGAAGCTGCTCCTGGAGGTCAGGGGGACACAGCCGTCCAGGACCCCCGGGACCCGGTGCTGCTGGCAGACCTGAGGACAGAGTCCTGGTGGGGAGATGTTTAGTGACTGGCACTGTGGCCTCTCCCTTTCCAAGACCCAGTGAGAGAGGAGCTACTCGGTGCTGTAAAAGCCCCCAGATTGGTGCACCGGGCACTGCTGGGTGTCCTTGCCCAGTGGTCTGGAGGGTTCTTCCTCAGGTGGGCTCTGCCCTCATCCTGGGGAGCAGATGCTGGTGCTCGTGTGCACTGGAAAGCTCTGGACTGTGGTCGTTTCATCTGCTGCTTTCCTTCAATCAGCTCCTCGATTATGTGATGACAACCCTACTGTTTTCTGAAAAGAACGTCGACAGCAACCTAATTAGCTGGAACCGCGTGGTGCTGCTTCACGGTAGAGTCATGGGCCGCAGGGCTGCTGGGCTGCTGTGGGGAAGAGGGACCTCTCCGTGAAGGTGCAGAGCTGCGTGTCTGTGAGGTCTAAGTTGACCCTGCTGGTCACTCACTGATGACAGCCTGTGGCCACTCTGGGCCTCGTTGTGCACCTTTCCCAGTAGCTCGGCCTTGTTACTGCTGGCTGTGATATGTCAGACTGGAGGCTCCTTGTAACGCCCACAGAGCCTCCCCGGAGAGGAACCTGCAGAAAGTTCTACGTGCTCCATCTCGGGTAGAAAGACACCAGGGACTGAGTGGGCAGGTAGTGTCCCTGTACAGGACAGTGACCTCCAAGGCTTGTCTCCTGCCGGGGACGCTGTCATTTGGTGGCAGGCTCCTGGGAGCATGCTGTCCAGGTGCAGAGCCAGCGGGAGGTTGGCTCACAGCTGCGTGAGTGGGTGGGCCTCGTCTTCTTCATTATCGATTATGGATAGTGCCGTGGACGGTGGAGTTGGGTGTCTGTGTTTGACACTCTGCTCTGCCTTTCACTGGTCCACTAAGAGCCAGCCCTGGTGCTCCTAAACAGGTCAAGTGGACAGTGGGGAGCCTGGCTGTGGTCCCACCACATAGGGCAAGTGGGCGGTAGGGGCTCTGACCCCGTTCCTTTCTGCTCATGTGGGATAAGGCCCACGTAGTGGACCTGCAGGGATAGCAGGTACCAGCGTCCAGGGTGGCCCTCCATCCACCCCCTTCACCAGGCAAAGTGTAGCTTATGTAGTACCCTGGGGAGGGGACGACTGCCTGCAGGTGGAATAGGCTAACAGGTAGTGCTGAGTGAAGTCTAGGTTACCCCTGACCAAACGGCAGTGGACGTCCTGCCTTGTCCTAGACCCCCCTGGGTTGGGTTGAGGTAGGGCTGGTGTCCTACACAAGGTCAGCAAGGCCGCCTCCGCTTCAGGGGCTCTGGAGGCGCGTGAAGGAGACGGCCCTCAGTGGGCCCCGGCTTGGCCAGGCCTGCGGGGATGAGACCCCGTGCACTCACTTAGATAAGGCAGACTGTGGACACTGTGGTCTGGGACACTGGTGCTCGTGGTGCAGGTCTCCCCAACAGCGGCACCTGCCAGGGCTGCACGCCTGCCTTCTCACTCACACGGGTGCACACGCGTGCATTCACACATGCCCATAGCATTCCCCTGTCTCCCTCCTGTCTGTCCTGTGGCCTAGACACATAAGGACAGCTGCCAGGGCTCCAGCAGTGCAGTGCTCTGCATGACAATGACATGACAGCTTGGCTTCCATAAGGACCACTGGCCTGGAAACCCTCGGGGGCAGCCCTGCTCTCCTACAGGCTTGCTAGGAGTCAGAATCCACTCAACAGCATTTGTGGTTACTGTTCAATGCTGTCCATCAGTTCTGACTCAGTTACCCAGTGGAAGGTTTCTGAGGAGGGGCTGGTGTGTTTGAACCACTGACCTATGGTTAGCAATCCAGTGCTTAAGTGCCATGCCAGGACTTCATAACAGCATTGGGTTTAGTTTAACGACAATGCTGACTTAAATGTGCGTGTGCTTGGCTTGTTACAGGCCCCCCAGGAACTGGGAAAACGTCTCTGTGTAAAGCGCTAGCCCAGAAGTTGACCATCCGGCTCTCAAGCAGGTGATTGGAGAGGGAACAGTGGGGTGGGAGTGTTTGCTTTCTGATCTGTCTGACCTATGGCCGTTTGTCTCTGTGACCCTGTGGGTGGGTGGGAGGGGCCTCCAGTGTGCATCAGGGAGCTCCCCCTGCTGCGCCACCTGTCTTGGACTCTGTGTCCCGTCTCTTTGGATCTGTGGCGCTGTGTTGCCTGACCAGGGCTCTTGCTGGGTGGGGTGCTCCACGGTGCCACCTAGGTCAGGTTTGTGAGTATGTCTGTGTGTCTCTCTGTTCCAAGTGTTTGGGTTCCTTCCTGTCTGGTGCACGGCCCACTAGCACGCCCTTTAGACGGCTTGTTGTGTTTTCGGGTTCAGAATTGTCCTTTTGGACAGTTTCTCGAAGGTCGCTACTTTTCCACTTTAAAGTCCGTCCAGTAAGAGTCTCGTTTCTGACAGTGTTGTCCGCTCTGGAAGCTTTGGCTCTTTCTTCACCTTCTGTTGCTCTCCTGTTCGGGTTGAGATAAAATCCCTGAACATGTCGCTGGCGTTAGCGCTGCTGTCTGAATTCGTTGTCATTAGCATTTTGTTTCTTTGCTGCTTGTGGGTTCCGTGTTTCTGCAAGTGCTATTTCATGGTATGCTGGACATCGTGGCCCCAGGTGTCTGCATCTTGTCATGTCGCTTTAGACTGCTGGACTTTGTGCTGCTGTGAAGTGCTCTCGAATCGGTTCCGACCCTTTGACTCTGTATAGGCTTTTTACTCGCGGAAGTAGCAGTCAAGAGATCAGACGACGTATTGCACTGGGCAAATCTGCTGCACAGGAACTTTTTAAAGTGTTGAAGAGCAGAGATGTCAGCTTGAGGACTAGGGTGCGCCTGACCCAGGCCATTGTGTTTTCAATAGCCTCATATGGATGTGAAAGCTGGACAGTGAATAAGGAGGATTGTAGAAGAATTGATGCCTTTGAGTTGTGGTGTCGGAGGAGAATACTGAGGGTGCCATGGACTGCCAAAAGAACCAATAGATCTGTTTTGGAGGAAGTGCAGCCAGAGTGCTCCTTGGAGGCCAGGATGGCTAAACTTCGTCTCTCCTACTTTGGACACATTGTCCGGAGGAAACAATCGCTGGAGAAGGATGTCATGCTGGGTAGGGTGGAGGGTCAGAGAAAAAGAGGAAGACCCCCAATGAGATGGATCAGCCAGGTGGCATCATTGATGGACTCGGGTGTGGCAGCGGTAGTGAGGTTGGCCCAGGATCGGACATTGTTTCGTTCTGCTGTGCATGGGGTCGCTATGAGTCGGTTCTGACTCGATGGCACCTGACAACAACAACAACAACATAGGCTTTCCAAGGAGCGGCCGGTGAGTTTGAACGGCTGACCTTGCAGTTGAGTGCTTATCCTTTGTGCTGGTAGGCATCTCAGATACTTATGATTTGGTTTCTTTTAAGCTTTGTCAGGAAGGAGCTCTGGTAGCGTAGTGGTTATGAATTGGGCTACGAGCCACAAGGTCAGCAGTTCGAAACTACCAGCTGTTCCGCGGGAGAAAGATGAGGCTTTCTGTTCCCGTAAAGATTTACAGCCTCAGAAACCCTGTGCAGGGTCACTATGAGTTGGAACTGACTCCACGGCACACAATAACAACAACAACAAGCTTTGTCAGGCGGGGGCTTAGTTTATTCTAGCCTGAATCCAGGATCCATCAGCTCACTTCTCCAAGGTCACGACTCAGGGGTGCCTCCAGGCGGGTGCCCACTTCCTCCCTCTGAGAGTCACAGCCCCCAACTATGTGCCCAGTGTGGTTTCCGGGTTTTGTCTTGTTGACTAAGTCGGAGGGTAAATCTGATACTTAGTGCCCCGTTGTGACTTGAAGAGGAGAGATGTATGAGACTCACCTTTACATGTGCTGCACTGTGGTCAACTTTCATTGTCTGTTTTTCTATTTTTTATTTTAGAAAATGTCTAAAGAGTATACTTATTTAGGAAATTACTTTATCTTAACTTTTTGTCTCATGTTTAGAAACACGGCCTTCATTTTGAAATAGTAAACTGCGTCTATGCTTTAAAGATCTCTAGAAACCAAACTCCCTGTCATCGAGTCAGTTCTGACTCAGCGAACATGTAGTGTTGTAGGATAAGCACTGGACTGCTAACCACAAGGTCAGCAATGTAAACCTACCAGCCAGCCAGCCAGTCCTTGAAAACTCCATTTAAGGTCGCTATGAATCGGACCCAACTTCAAGGCACTCAGGAACAACCACATGGAATTTCTGAGGTAATATATCTTTGTGGGGACAAATAGCCACATCTTTCTCCTAAAGAGCAACTGGTGGATTTGAACTGCTGACTGTGTAGTTAGCAGTCTGGTGCTTGTCCTACAGTGCTATCAGGACTCCCTAAAGATCACTAGGGGTAGGTTTCTAGAACATCTAAAAGTGACAGTTGAATTACCAGAAGTATAATGTTTTCAAGTACCAACTTGGAAGTGTGTTTAGATCTAGCTTGTTTTTTTGGGTAGCCACTCTGTGTGTGGAGGGGGTGGGAATGCTCCTTGCTGTGAGGATTTGTTCCCTCTTTTGAGCTACTGCATCCATAGGTGTAGGTCAAGTTCATCAAATTGTATCCGATGACTCTTTTTTCCCTCTTCTTTCTTCTGGTCTGGTTTGTTTTTGTTGAGAAACTAAACACACCCAGACTTGCCAGCTGCCTCGGAGTGAACTGAGTTGTTCCTACTGGGCTTCAGCTAATTAGGAGTGTTGGAGCCCCGGTGGTAGTGTTGGGCAGCTAATCCCAAGGTGGGACTTCAGACCCACCAGCTACTCCTTGGAAGAAAGCTGTGGCGTCTGCTTCTCTAAAGCTTTTTAAGTTCAGAACCCTGTGGAGCGCTCTGTTCTGTCCTGTGGGGCTGCTGAGTCAGAATCCACTTAATGGCCCAGGGTTTGGGTTTTGTTTGGGTTTGGGCAGCGTTGATATTGGCCATCTGAGCATCCAGGGCACTCGGCTTGCAGGTTGTGATTTTGTTCTGGAAAACGAACCCCAGAAGTTCAGCTTCAGCCAAGGCAGCTTGATGCCTTGGTTTGTGGTTTTGTTGGCTGTGTTTGTGCTGGTGGTTTGTGCTTTTTAAACATAGGCACATACAGTAAGTACAAGTTGCTTTAAAAAACACCACCACCTTTCAGGTATACATGAGATTGGTCTTCCTTTCACATTTATTTTTGCATCTTATAGGGGCAGGAGTGGTTTCATGTTATACCCACTGTGTCAGGTTACAACCACTCTGATGTTGTCCTTCAACTTGGGAAGCGGGACTGGCCGCACCACAAACTATTGATGTATCCTGTCGGATCTCTCGCTGTTCCCGGCCGCCCCTTGTCAGCGGCTGTGAGGTCTCAGGAGCGAGCTCCTCCTCCTCACTGCGGGGACACTGAGCGCTGCTGTGCTAAGGAAGTGAGGCGTTACCCTCGGGGAGCGAGGGAACTCATGTGAAATAAGGAGTTTCTTAACCCTGTGTTTTATCAAACCCTTAGGTATCGATATGGCCAGTTAATTGAAATCAACAGCCACAGCCTCTTCTCTAAGTGGTTTTCAGAAGTAAGTTCAATTTTGACACTCATTCTCCAGGGTCCTCCGCTGTGGTGCAGTAAACATACGCATGGCAGACAGCCCTTAGGGGAGAGGCAGGGGATCTGAGGGCCACCTGTTAGCTCCTGTCACGGGCCTTCAACTGGGATCCATTGGTCAGCAGCCTCAGGCGAGCAGAGCAGGTGTCCACTCATCCCGCTCTCCCACTGGGCACGCTCTCCCACTGGGCACGCCAGCCAGATGATGGCACCTGCTACTTGCCCAAGGCACTGGCACAATGCAGGAAGGGGAGCCTGGCCTTCCAGGAGCCTCTGTGTAAGTGAGAAGGTAGGAGGTGGCCAGATAGCTGAGACATTCCTATGCAGGGCCTTAGACCGGAGAGGCCCCCAAGCCCATGTCTTGGGCTGGGGCATCCAGGAGAGGTGGGCTGTGGGCACATCGGGATGCCGGACGTTGACCTGGATGTCTGTCTGTGCGCTGGGCGCAGCTCGACACAAAGTACATGTTGGTTGTAGAGTGGCAAGCTGGTGACCAAGATGTTCCAGAAGATTCAGGATCTGATTGATGACAAAGATGCTCTGGTGTTTGTGCTTATCGATGAGGTGAGACCCCCCCGGCACCCTGTGACTGAGGGCGACCCTTGTGTCTTGCTGTCGCCGGCCTCCCTGTCGTGCCTCACTGTGGTTGTGGGGCTCCTGCCACACTTGTGTGCGTGTGTTCAGTGTCCCACATGCTGCCCCTTGACGGGCACTTTGTGTGGACTGCACACTCCCCTGCAGGTGGAGAGTCTCACCGCAGCCCGAAATGCCTGCAGGGCGGGCACAGAGCCCTCGGACGCCATCCGTGTGGTCAATGCCGTCCTGACCCAGATCGACCAGATCAAGAGGTAATGCTGTGATCGGGGGTGTGGCTCCCAGGGCTGAGTGTTCTGGGGAGGGCTGCCCTAACCCAGCACCCCAAGAGTACGTCTTACCCCATCAGGATGACGCGGGAGCGCCCTCTGTCAGCGTCTGGTCCTTGGCGTTCTCCCTGACATCTGTCCCTCGGCCCACTGGATCCTGGCTTCCCCTGCACGAGGGACCCTCCCTGCAGGGCGTGGTCCTCCCTGCAGCTCTCAGGGTTCCTGTGTACGTGTGCTCACAGGCACTCCAACGTGGTGATCCTGACCACGTCCAACATCACCGAGCGCATCGACGTGGCCTTTGTGGACAGGGCCGACATCAAGCAGTACATCGGGCCCCCATCGGCGCCAGCCATCTTCAAGATCTACCTCTCGTGCCTGGAGGAACTGATGAAGGTGTGCTGTGTGTGCTTGGTGGGCAGCTCCACATGGAGCTGGGAGCTCAGGGGGCTCTTCTCTCCCAGGGGGCACCAGCACATCAGGCAGATGCTGCTAGTCCCCTAGAACTGAAAGTTGGAGTTTTGGTGTCTTGACTAGTTGAGTGGTTCTTTTGCACAACATGGCGTTCCTTTATGCCGTGGTGTACGGGTGGTGAGAAAGGGACAGACATGGGCTGAGGGTCACCTGCCGGAGAGGGAAGCAGGGCTCTGTGTGAGTCCTGGTTCTTCACTTAGCTCAGCCACGGCTATACCCCAAAGACACACTGTTACTGCTCCAGCTGACGAAGTGGCCTGTGACAGACAGATTTGAAGCCCCATTGGTGCATCCCCATGACCATGTGTATCTGCCTCTCCCCCGCCAGGTGTCCCTGTGACCATGTGTGTCTGTCCCCCCCCAGGTGTCTCTGTGACCATGTGTGTCTGCCTCCCGCCCCCCCCCAAGTGTCCCCATGACCATGTGTGTCTGTCTCTTCCCCCCCC